AATAGGAAAAGTACTTTGTAGTCACCATGTTCTCAGTTTCTCACAGATCACCAATATTGTATGTTAGTATAGACTAGCCAATTCATACTAAAGTTTATTGGTTTGAACTAGCCAATTCATAACATGGAGTGATTGTGTTGTAGCTTATAATAATACTACCAGTCAGTTAGTAGTATCTGCATGTAAGACGGAGAGATTGTGAAGTTTTAGAAATACACCTACTGGAGTATGCTTCAGAAATACACCTATAGTTTGTTCTTTTTTCTAACCATATTCATTCCATTAACCAAAAAGCTCAGCAACCTCGCTGGCTACCAATTCATGCACAAATTCAGGGGCACCATCTGGCCATACGGCTGGGGATGAGAGACCTGACACTGCACCATACATCGCAAGAGCATCTGCGACTTTATAACATACCCTCAGGCAATATGAAATGTGAAATAAATTAAATTTTAAACAAGCAAAATATTTAATCTCCTTGAAGAGAATCCCATTTATTGCCAAATCAATACTAACCTTTAGTACATCATATCCTAGAGGAATCCATTTGTCTTGTTGCAGCGTAGTAGTATCCTTCTTTTCCTCAACCAACATAATATGCTATACAACACTCTTGACTCGCTTGATTACAGTTGTGGTATTTCTCAGCGGCTCGCCTGCGTTCCTTCTATTTCTTGTGTCCCACCACAACAAAAGCATCGTGATGCACTTAATTTTCTTTTTGTCTGGTAGTGCTAGAATTTTGGTAACTAGCTCCTTCGGCCCCTGCTCATCCAGAAGTTGAATTCTTATTTTGCTCTAATTGCATCTCCCTCCATAGTGGCTTGACATTTTTGCATTAGTCCATGTTCTTCCGAGCTGTTGTCTACTGGAGTATGCGCTTTTATATAACTTTACGCAAGTGATGCACCTGGTACTAGACTCATAAACGTGTCAATTTTGCTATACGTTTGTGTTGTGATTTTGTACATTATGTAATAGTAAGTGAACTTGTTTTTCCTCCTCTGTGCAAGTTGTTTTTGTAGGTCATGTATCTTACTATGAATTGATGTTTTGTAGAGCATGTTTCCTGGGAACTGCTAGTAAATATGTTTCCTCATTGATTATTTACCTTTGATTAAGTTGGTCTTTTTTCTATAATGTAGATGGATAGATCTTGGATTCGTGGCACACTGTTCTCTGGAGAGTAAGCCAATGGTGTCAAATAGTTTATGAACTTAATTCAAGCAAAATTCAGCGAGGATGAAGAAATACTATGCCCATGTTGAAAATTCCTTAATCGCAAATACTGGCATCAAGCTGTTGTGAACAAGAACATATTGACGCATGGCATGGAAAGTACATATACTCACTGGATATATCATGGAGAAGACTTCAATGCAGATGTTATTGAACGTCTTGTTGATGTGCATGACTCAGAGGATGGTAACAATGGTGCTGACCGATTTGAAGAGATGTTTGGCGACCTACGCACAGTAGTAGAACAAGATCAGAAGGAAACTAGAAATGAAGATGGTAACAATGATGCAAATCCTTCTGAGATTGGGTCCTTTTTGAAGAACGTGAGGAAAGAGGCAAAGCGGCACCTTTATCATGGTTGTACCAAGTTTTCAAGGTTCTCATTTGTGGTGAAGCTTCTTCATTTGAAGTCATGACATAAGATCAAAAATAGTGCATTTACTGGCATTTTTAAGCTACTGGCCGAAGCATTCCCTCAACCCAATACACTCCCAAAATCTTATGACAAAATAAAGAATATTCTAAAGGAATATGCCAAGCATGACAACTGCCCAATTTGTGGCATGTCAAGGTGGAAAGACCCTGCTAGAAAGAAGATACTACAAAAAGTTTTGAGGCATTTTCCATTAGTGCCTAGGCTGAAGAGGATGTTTCTTTCCAAAAAAAGCATCAGAAGAAGCAGAGTGGCACAAGCTAAAGAGGCCACCCAGTGAGAAGGAAATGAGCCATCCAGCTGACGGTGATGCGTGGCAAGATTTTGATAAAAAATATCCAAAATTTGTAGAAGATGCCAGAAACATGAGGCTTGGCATTGCCACTAATGGGTTCGATCCTTTCGGAAGATTTAACACAACTTATAGTATGTGGCCTGTATTTGTTGTGACATACAACCTTTCACCTTGGGCATGCATGGATCAGTCAAATTTCACGATGGCTCTATTAATTCCAGGTCCTAAATCACCTGGCAAGCACTTTGATGCCTTCCTACAGCCACTTGTAGAAGATTTACTTGAGCTTTGGAAGGGTGTGCGTACATATGATGCTTGTGAAGGAAAAATGTTTGATCTTCATGCTGCAGTTCTATGGTGCATTCACGATTACCTAGCTCTAAGCACTCTTTCAAGGCGTACCACAAGAGGCTATGCTGCATGTATTCATTGTGACAAACACCCTCTTTCCTACGGCCTAAGGCACAAAATTGGGTATATTGGGCATTATCGTTTCCTTCCAAAGGGACATCGTTTGCAAAGAAACAATGAATTTGTTGGTCTTCATGGACGCAATGATGATCCAGGTAAATTCTCAAAGGAAAACCTACAAGCAGAATTGGAGAATGTTAGACCTGGGCGACAAGAAGAAAGCAGGAAAAGAAAGCATTCTGACTTGGGCAGCAATAAGGCTCATGTGCCAATTTGGAGTCGGAGGTTTTTTTGTGGGATTTAGATTATTGGGATAAATTGAAGCTGAGACATAATATTGATGTCATGCATATCGAGAAAAACATCTGTGAGAACCTCATTGGGACAATTCTCAACATGGAGGGGAAGACGAAGGACACACTTAATGCTAGGCTTGATCTCCAAGATTTGAATATTAAAGAAGAGTTGCATTTGAGGAAGGATGGAAACTCATATGAGATGCCTCGGGCCCGGTATACCTTGTCTAAAGAACAAGTGGTTGCATTTTGTCAATTTTATGAGAGTTAAAGTTTCCAGATGTGTTTGCTTCCAACATATCCAAATGTACAAGTGCCGATGGAACCAAGGTCCAAGGCCTAAAGCACATGATTGTCACATTCTTTTGCAAAGAATCTTACCTGTTGGCATGAGAGGATTTCCGGATAGTGATATATATGAAACAATGATACAGGCTCAAGCAGAAGTATTTTTATCCTTTCCCACTCAATTTGGGATGAAAACTTCTCCAGTCCACTCGATGACTGATGAACAATGGAATGAGCTTGTGGAAAGCTGGAAGGATCCAAAAAAAGGTACATTTCTTCTTGGAGACAAATAATATCCTGGTGCTGCCAACCACCCTTTCTTGCCAGATTCAAAGAAGGAAAAAATAGAAACAATAAGCATGTATATCAGCAACTTATTATTGTTTCTTGTACTTAAGTACCGAACACAACACTCCACTATATCATGTATTAGCTAGTAGCATCAAAATTGGATGGTTCTAACTCATTACTCATGAGTCAGAGGTTCTGCAAGGTAACATGCTTCCATTTAGGAAATAATATAAGTTAATATATATGTAAAGCAAAAAAATAATGACTTATTTAATTCTTTGCGTGCTTGTCAATTCTGGTGTAATACACTGCCATAAAGCTCCTGATCTGGAAGTACTTGAAAATAACCTTCTGTACAATATGGCTCATATTTTAGCATGAGGTTGTCTGTCAAAAGATTAATCAATTAAAGTTATAATGATATTGTGTGAACATCAACCTATGAAATGTCGGGGCGTGTATATAAGATGAATCCTTCTTGAATGTTTTATTTGTTTCGATAATAACTCCTGAATAAATGCATTTAGCTAACCAAATCACTGATCCATGCAGGAGATATGTGGAATTAACAAAAATAATCGTGCTCAAGTCAAGTTTCACCAAACTACTGGTTCGCGCAGCTACCCTGTGCACTATGATAACCTGGTAAGTTAAACATGTGCCTGGATGTGCAAACTTTTTATGTGAAAGTAACTGGCAACTTTTTTCATGAGATTGTTTTGCATGGTATTGACAAATGTTATTGACCATAAGTTCATGTAAAACTTACGATTGCAGCTATTGTTCTTCTCTATATTAAAATTTTGATGCTAGCATGTTAAGGTTTAGTGTTTTGGGCTCGAACTATATCTGACCTCTGTTGCTCCTGCTATTGTTAGGTACATTACGTACGATATTTTCTTAGTTTGCTAGCAGTAATGAATATAAATGTATATGATGCTCCCTTGCGTACAACCCATACATGCTTTTTCCCCTTAATGGTATATCATACTGAATAAATGAATAAAGTAGAGTTCAATATTGGTACTGTACATGTTGTTTCTTCACAAATGTTAGCTTGATGCATATCTGTTGTTTTCAGGGAGACAAATACAAGGAGAAAGAACCTACTACACTAGATTTATTCAAGGAGTGCCACTACTGCAGCAAAAAGAAAGGCTACACTGATGCTGTGCAAGCTGCAATTGTAAGTCAGCTTTCAAAGATCACCAACCATCAAAATTTTAACCTTTTGCCATAGATCCAGTAGTAGGATAATAAATAATTGCAAAAAATGCATGTTATTTTCTGTCCTTGTGCTAGAATACTAGTTGTGTTTTGTCCTTGTGCTAGAATACTAGTTGTGTTTTGTCCTTGTGCTATAATGCTTGCCACATTCTGTCCTTGTGTAAAGTACTTGCTATTTTCTGTCCTTGTGCTAAAATACTTGATGTCCTTGGCCTACAGTACTTGCAGCATACATGTAGTGACTTGAGTATAACTACATGTCTACATCTGTACATTTCTATCCTTGTGCTATAATACTTGCCACATTCTGTCCTTGTGTAAAGTACTTCCTATTTTCTAACCTTGTACTAAAATACTTGGTGTCCTTGGCCTACAGTACTTGCAGCATACATGTAGTGACTAGAGTATAACTACATGTCTACATCCGTACATGGAAATGTGTCATACCTATATGCAAATAACCTATTTGTCTCCTGTCTTGCTCGCCGTGTTTGTTTGCTTGCATGGCTAGGTTGAAATGGAAAAGAGTGCTTCTCAGCCTACAGAAGATGGCCAACAATCCAACTCTGCACCCAAGGATGTGGCTGAAGTTCTTACTAAGCACACTAAGAAGCCGATGTTTCTTAAGCATGTGAGGGTCCAACACGTGCATGAGAGATCCAGTCATAGCGACTGTGAGGCAGAACAGGAAGCACAGAAGAGGGGGACAACCGAGCTTCAGGCCCGTGTTGAAACCTTGACCAATCAGTTAAAGGAATCAGAAGAAGCAAGGATCCGGCAAGAAGAAGCAAGGACCAAGCAAGAAGAGGAGAACAGGAAAAAGCAAGTGCACTTGGAAGCTAAATTAGACTTCTTACTAAATCATATTAGTCCAGGGTGAGCTCAAGAGTAAGTTGTTTGTCCAAGAAAAATTCTGCTGGAAGCTTTGAATGTGCTGGAACCTACCTTTTGCTAAATGTTAGTTTATAGTGGAAACTGCTTATGATGTTGCTGGATGCAAACTATTTTGCTGGTAGGTGGAAGTTGTGTTATGTTTGATGGTTAGTGGATTTGGACATGGACGTTTGTTTGTGTTGGATGTGTAATGATGGATCAGTACTTATCTTATTGTGATGCTGGAGTTTAATTTGTGTTGTGTGATGATGTGCATCTTTTCTACCTATTTGACGTTGTTGTTGTACTGAAAGAGAAATTCTTCATTGTGATGGAGCAAAATTGGTTATTGAGCACTAATGGGCTGGAGTATAAATGGGATGACAAACAGCATAATGGACTAGCAAAATTAGGCTATCAGATAGAAGTTTAAAAAATATGGGTCTGGAAAAAAATTAATGGGCTAAATAGTCGTGTATGCCTTAACTTTTTTTCCGGCTATTCGGCTTGGCTTGACAAATTATCTGGGCCAAAATTATATAGGCCCAAAGGCTAGAGGCCCAGATGATGGCACATCAGATCCACGTGGGTGCCACGCAATACATCAGGGCATCCAGATCCATGACGGATTTGTCCATCACTGAAACCCAGGAGAGGGGGGCCGAGCGGGGCCGGGGGCCGGATCAATGACGGTCCAACACCGTCATAAATCTGTGATGGATAGGCATTTCTGTCATGGCGTGTGTTGTTGGCAAATTATGACACGCGATACATGACAGATCTCGTATCCAACACCGGTGCTAAGGCCTGACGGTTTTCTGCTCTGCTATGACGGTTTGTATCTGTCACAGATAAGCAAGTTTCTTGTAGTGTTATTATTATATTTTTCTTTATTTTTTATGACAAGACTGGGCATTCCAATTACGATCCTCTCTTGTGCAATACAAGTGAATAAACACCCATCGTGATAATAACCTGCTTAGCATGGAAGATATTGACTGCCCCGTTGCTCCATGAGCGGTACGAGCACACAAAACAAATGATTATTTGAATGATTGGAAATGGCACATGCAATTTTACTTGGAATGGCATGGAAATACCGTATTTAGATAGATATGGTGGACTCATCTGGAACAACTTTGCGTTTCAGGACTTGATAACCCACAAGTATAGGGGATCACAATAGTTTTCGAGGGTAGAGTATTCAACCCAAATTTATTGATTCGACACAAGGGGAGCCAAAGAATATTCTCAAGTATCAGCAGTTGAGTTGTCAATTCAACCACACCTGAAAGACTTAATATCTACAGCAAAGTATTTAGTAGCAAAGTAATATGGATGTAACGGTAACGGTGGCAAAAGTAACATTAGCAGTTTTATAGTGATTGTGACAGCAGTAGCAACGAAAGTAACTAGATCAATATGTGAAAAGCTCGTAGAAAATGGATCGGCAATGATAATTGTGTCGGATGAAATTCATCATGTAGCAGTTATGACCTAGTGTGACACAGAACTAGCTCCAATTCATCAATGTAATGTAGGCATGTATTCCATATATAGTCATATGTGCTTATGGAAAAGAACTTGCATGACATATTTTGGCCTACCCTCCCGTGGCAGCGGGGTCCTAATGGAAACTAAGGGATATTAAAGCCTCCTTTTAATAGAGAATCGGACCAAAACATTAGCACTTAGTGAATACATGAACTCCTCAAACTACGGTAATCACCGGAAAGAATCTCAATTATTGTCACCTTGGGGGTATGCGGATCATAACTCATAACATGTGTCTACAACTTGCCAGATAGGATCAAGAACACAAATATATTCATGAAAACATAATAGTTTCAGATATGAAATCCTAGCACTTGGGCTCTAGTGACAAGAATTAAGCATAACAAAGTCATAGCAACATCAATCTCAGAACATAGTGGATACTAGGGATCAAACCCTAACAAAACTAACTTGATTACATGATAAATCTCATCCAACCCATCACTACCCAGCAAGCCTATAATGGAATTACTCACGCACGGCGGTGAGCATCATGAAATTGGTGATGGCGGAAGGTTGGTGATGATGATGGCGACGAATCCCCCTCTCCGGAGCCCCGAACGGACTCCAGCTCAGCCCTCTCGGTGAAGAACGGGAGGTGGTAGTGGCTTCGTATCGTAAAATGTGATGAATCCTTCTCTCTAATTTTTGTCTCTATGGATGTGAATATATAGAGTTTGAGTTAGGGTCGGAGGAGGTCCAAGGGGCCCACAAGTCACCAGGGCGCGCCCCCAGGCTTGTGGCAAATGGGGTGGACCCCTTTGGTTGATTCTTTCGCCAATATTTTTTATATATTCCAAAAATATTCTGCGTAAATTTTCAGGTCATTCCGAGAACTTTTATTTCTGCACAAAAATAACACCAAGGCAATTCTGCTGAAAACAACGTCAATCCAGGTTAGTTCCATTCAAATCATGCAAATTAGAGTCCAAAACAAGGGCAAAAGAGTTTGGAAAGGTAGATACAATGGAGACATATCAACTCCCCCAAGCTTAACCCATTGCTTGTCCTCAAGCAATTCAGTTGACAAACTGAAAGTGATAAAGAAAAACTTTTACAAACTCTGTTTGATATTGTTGTTGCAAATATGTCTAGCCAGCATTCAGGTTTTCAGCAAAGATTATGAACTAACCGTATTCACAATAACATTTAGGTCTCACATTTACTCATATCAATGGCATAATCAACTAGCGAGCAATAATAATAAATATCAGGTGACAACACTTTTTCAAACTAATCTAGATATGATAGGACAAAATGGTATCTCGCTAGCCTTTTCTGAGACTGCAAAACATAAATGTAGAGCACCCCTGAAGATCAAGGACTGACTAGACATTATAATTCATGGTAAAAGAGATCCACTCATACTCATACTCGATATCAATTAATAGAAAAGCATACAAATGACAGTGGTGCTCTCTAACTGGTGCTTTCTATAAGAGGATGATGACTCAGCAATAAAAGTAAATAGAAAGGCCCAGAGGTTGAGCTTTTGAAACAGAGATGAATATAATTTTGAGAAGTATGCTTTCATTGTCAACATAACAACCAAGAGATCTCCCTATCTTCCATGCTAGATAAATTATAGGCGGTTCCCAAACAGAATGGTAAAGTTTTTACACCCCCTCTTGTTGGGAAACGTAGCATGCAATTTCAAAAAATTTCCTACGCTCACACAAGATCTATCTAGGAGATACATAGCAACGAGAGGGGGAGAGTGTGTCTACATACCCTCGTAGACCAAAAGCGGGAGCGTTTGACAATGCGGTTGATGTAGTCGAACTTCTTCTAGCTCCGACCGATCAAGTACCGAACGTACGGCACCTCCGAGTTCTGCACACGTTCAGCGTGATGAGGCACCTCTCCTTCTTGATCAAGAAATGTGTCAAGGAAGTAGATGAGTTCCGTCAGCACGACGACATGGTGACGGTGATGGTGAAGTGATTCTCGCAGGGTTTCGCCTAAGCACTGCAAAAACTATGATCGGAGGTGTAAACTATGGAGGGGCGTGCCGCACATGGCTTACAATTGTTGTTGTGTGTTCTAGTCACCCCTCCCCATTTATATATAGGTGGGAGGGGGAGGGGAGCAGCCTTGGGGCGCCCCAAGTAGGAGGAATCTTACTTGGGGTCCTCTCCCAATTCGGCCTCCCCCCCCCTCCTTAGTTCCAGAGGGGGGAAAGGGAAGACGGAAGGGAGGAAGGAAACGGGGGCCGAACCCCCTCTTGCTTCTTCAATTCGGCCTCCTGCCTAAGGGGGGCACCACCCCTTGTGGGCTGGTGTGCTCCCTTCTTATGGCCCGTATTTTTTCCCCGGGGGTTCTGGTAACCCCCCCGGTACTCCAATAAATACCCGATACTATCCCGAACACTTCTGTGTCTGAATACTATCATCCTATATATCAATCTTTACATCTCAAACATTTCGAGATTCCTCGTCTTGTCTGTGATCTCATCCGGGAATCCGAACAACATCCAATCACCAAAACACATAACTCATATAGTACTAAATCGTCATCGAACGTTAAATGTGCGGACCCTATGGGTTCGAGAACTATGTAGACATGACCGAGACACCTCTCTAGTCAATAACCAATAGCAGAACCTGGATGCTCATATTGGCTCCTCCATATTCTACAAGGATCTTTATCGGTCGAACCATAACCACAACATACGTTATTCCCTTTTTCATCGGTATGTTACTTGCCCGAGATTCGATCGTTGGTATCTTCATACCTAGTTCAATCTCGTTACCGACAACTCTCTTTACTCATTTCGTAATACATCATCTTGTAACTAAATCATTAGTCACTTTGCTGCAAGGCTTCTTATGATGTGCATTACCGAGAGGGCCTAGAGATACCTCTCCAATACTCAGAGTGACAAATCCTAATTTCGATCTATGCCAACGTAACAAACACCTTCGGAGATACCTGCAGAGCATCTTTATAATCACCCAGTTACGTTGTGACGTTTGATAGCATACAAGGCATTTCTCCCCTATCTGGGAGTTGCACAATCTCATTGTTGAAGTAATATGTATTTGACATGAAGAAAGCAATAGCAATAAACTGAACGATCAATATGCTAAGCTAACGGATTGGTCATGTCCATCACATCATTCTCATAATGATGTGATCCCATTATCGAATAACAACTCATGTCCATGGTTAGGAAACATTAACCATATTTGATTAACGAGCTAGTCAAGTAGAGGCTCACTAGGGACTCAGTGGTTGTCTATGTATTCACACATGTATTAAGGTTTCCGGTCAATACAATTCTAGCATGAATAATAAACAACTATCATGAATAAGCAAATATAAAATAACAACTTTATTATTGCCTCTAGGGCATGTTTCCTTTAGTCTCCCAATTGCACTAGAGTCAATAATCTAGATTATATTATAATGATTCTAACACCCATGGAGTCTTGGTGCCGATCATGTTTTGCC